TATATATATATATATATATATATATGCTATGAAAAACTTTCAATATGAATTCTAAAGGTAAATATTAAAGACTTGGCCTAATTTACATGAACTGAAATTTCATTAAAGTAAAACTTCGAAGAGAACTCAGTGATTCATTAAAAAGGAACAGCATCCCAGTCACAGGGGTCCCAGAAGATGAAGAGAGACAAAAAGGGGTAGAAGGTTTATGTGAGCAAATCATAGCAGAAAACTTTCCTAACCTGGGGAAAGAGACAGACATCAAAATCTAGGAAGCACAGAGAACTCCCATTAGATTCAATAAAAACTGACCATCAACAAGACATATCGTAGTCAAATTCACAAAACAGACAAGTAATGAATCATGAAAGTGGCAAGGGAAAAAAAGTCCTTAACCTACAGGGGAAGACAGATCTATCACAGCAGACCTATCCACAGAAAGGAGTGACAGGATACATTGTGCTGAATTAGAAAAACATGCAGCCAAGAATTCTTTATCCAGCAAGGCTATCATTCAAAATAGAAGGAGAGAGGGGCGCCTGGGTGGCTCAGTCGGTTAGGCCTCCGACTTCGGCTCAGGTCATGATCTCGCGGTCCATGAGTTTGAGCCCCGCGTCGGGCTCTGTGCTGACCACTCAGAGCCTGGAGCCTGTTTCGGATTCTGTGTCTCCCTCTCTCTCTGACCCTCCTTCATTCATGCTCTGTCTCTCTCTCTCTCTCTCTGTCTCAGAAATAAATAAATGTTAAAAAAAAATTAAAAAAAAAAAAAATAGAAGGAGAGAGAGTTTCCCAGACAAACAAAAACTAAAGGAGTTCCTGACCACCAAACCAGCCCTGCAAGAAATTTTAAGGGGGGACTCCCTGAGGGGAGAAAAGATGAAACAAAACAAAACCAAAAGCAACAAAGACTAGAAAGGACCAGAGAACATCACCAGAAACTCCCAACTATATAGGCAACACAATGGCAATAAATGTGTATCTTTCAGTACTCACTCTAAATGTCAATGGACTAAATGCTCCAATCAAAAGACATAGGGCAACAGCATGGAGAAGAAAACAAGATCCATCTATATGCTATT